TGTTGACGTTCTGGGCACCCACATCACACACACAATGATAGCGAACTTGTCTTAATCTTAAAACTATAATGTAGTTCAATATTTACAATCTATATATGAATAAGTATGTGAATGATGAAACATTGAAATTGAAATAAAATCATAAAAATGATGCACCTATCTTTTTAAAATATGGCTTGTGGGTGTGGGTGTTGACGTTCTGGACACCCACACCCACACCCTTCTTCCTAATAACTTACCACGATCGAAAATTTGAAAGCAGTTGAAGTGCTACTGTTGTTATTGTTGGAAAGAATTTTTTTCAACTAATAAGGTTTAGTTAATATTTTTTTCAAAATGTCTTTTCTCTTACCTTTTTTTTACAAAGCGACATAACTCAATCGATTTCTATTTGCTTTACCACTTCTTTTCTTTTCTCAAGCATGTACACTTTGAAGAAGTATCGCGTACATTACAACAATACGCATTCAAAGGAAGAAGAAAAAAGAAATTATTCTTTTTCGACGAAATTATTCAATTCTGAATAAACAATTTGGTACTGAATGTTTGCTCGAATGAAGAGAATAGAAATTTTTAACAATGAATAGCAACAAGCAATAGGGTAGAGTAATCTATTGTATCTCTAATTAATTTAAACTTATTTTTAATGCGGTGTAAAGCACAGCATTCATGTAGTCCGTCGCAAGTTTTTTTTTTGTTTTTAACTTGACGCGTACGCATCAAAATAGTCATTTTGTTGTGCCATCATCCCGGGATTGAAAAATCATAGAAAATTCGTTGAAACGTGAGATCGAAGTATCAAGGTCGAACCTTTTACATCTGTTAGCCACTATAGTCCATTCATTTACAGCTGATCTATGATAATGAATCATGAAGATAATTAATCGATCAATCGAAATCGATCCTTAAGAATGTATCGCTCAGTGTGAATAGAGTTTCCTCAGTGATGAATTTCATTATGGTTACATAAAAAGTATTCAAGATTTCTCTGACTTGAAGTTTTTTCCTGAAGATCCGATTCGAGCTTTGTATCGGATTTCGTCTTCAAGTGAAACTTGAATACCATCTATAATAGTTTCTTTCTAACTTGAGTACGCATAAAAAATTCTCATTAAGTGACGCAATAATCTACAAAATCGTAATTGATAGAATATCCATTCGAACTAGATATGACAGTTTCAAGATCAAACTTGTTACATCTATTTTCAAATTTTCAATACTAAGTTTCGTTCGCCTAAAAATATTATTCAAAAATGATGATTTTGTAAGGTTTTTATCGTTAGAAAGTTTCAAGATAATAAAAGAGATGTTAGCAAGCAATAGTAGCCAATAGTCTATTTCTTCGCATCTGATCTAAGTTAGTGAATCATTGAGCTAATTTAATGTTCAATCAAAAGCATTCTCTAAGATTATGGTGATAATCACGAAAAAAACGTTTTCTCAGAAATGAATTCTATTATGATTACTTGGGAACTAAAAAGAATGTAATGATTTTTTTTGTTTTTAATTACAACTGCTGAAGACACGAAAAGGTATATATTTCAAGCGATTGTGAAACTAATCAGGCCCTAACGATGTCTAATTAATTTTAAGATTGCTTGTTCCTTTTCCGTTAATTTTTTTATTTTTTCGTGTACTCGACTTGTGCTTCGCACCGCATTTCGTATACGAGTGAAATTCGAATACCATCTAGTTTCGTTAGAATTCTGATTCGAAAAATATATTTGAAATTCAATAGAAAATTGATTTATTCTTCATATAATTCTTATATATATATATGAGAACAGGTAGTATTTTCAAAAAATCTTAAAAACGTTTCTCATGGTGTCGGGGTAATCGAAATTTTTATTTTTATCATTTCTCATTGTAATCAACAGATGCGAATATAATTATTATAGAAATGTCACTATCGAATAAACAGCAGTCGATATTTATTTTATGATCGAGAAATTAAATAAGCTCCTAGTCAATAGTTGCATCATAGAATTCAAATACGTTGTATGATGATGTAAAATAGATTAATATATATCAATTGTGGACGACTTATGATAGTGTATAAAAACTTTGATTTGAATAAGACATATTTTGTTTCGATACTATTTTTCTATTAATTATATGAATAGGAGTGAGAATGTTTAGTGTCATTTCATAAATTTGTTCTTAGATGCGTTGATGCAACGTTATGAGTGGATGGAGACGTTCTCAAATTTTTGCTACCCAGTATCCAGCTGACGAAAGTTTTTAGTAACAACTTCTAATCGAACTTGTGTAGTACGATAGATTTTTTACACACCCACACCCACACCCTTTTTTTCATTCTTTTTAAAACACTTAAAAATATGAATTCTATTGACAATAGAACTGTACATAGAAACACTAAAATATTCAGTAGACGAGTAGATGACGAATGATGACAACGCAAAAAAAATTCTTAATTCCATAAAATTTATTTCTCTACGATTGCAAATGGATGATTTTTGTAAAAAAAAGTTTATTATACTCGATCTTTCGACTATTCATTGTCAATAAACCAGAATTCGTTTTTTAAAAATATTTTGCATCTACCTGAAATTGAACAAGATTCGTTATGTAATTGTATCAAAAAACATTAATACTAAATTAAAAAATCGAAATATACACATCTTAAGATAGCAAGAAATATCAAAGTCTAAATTAGCACCAACTGATAAAAAATACTTGATTACAATAGATGATGACAATAAGAAAAGAATTTTTCGTGTGGAAATTTGCTGGTCATTGAAATTATCTTCATCAATATCAATTTTCGTTCTGCTTTTTGTCGAATTAATAATCGTTGGATATACATCAATGATTCAGAATTGAGACTCGATCCGTATGGTAATACTGTCTTTCGTAAATAAGTCACCAAATCGATCATGACTGTAGCAAACATTGTATTATCTTGAATGTATGAATTAGAACAACAACAGTGATATATGTGTACATCGAACATTTCTGCCCCCCATTTAAATAAATTCGAGCTCACATCTTGTAGTCAGTTGGCGATGGGAGGTGAATACATTGATATTTGTCTTTCAGATTGTGCATCCACTAGTTACTATTTTAATTTCCTGTTCACTATAAAAAAATTGACCAATTCGACTTCTCCAAACACGTTCGTGCCTGTTAATTTATTGTAAATTCATTTAAAATGAAACTAGCTGTATTTGATTAATATTTATTCATCGTGATTAAACACTATCGAGTAGTTTCGATCTAATCTTGAAAGTCAAATGAAACCTTTGCTTTAAGTCAACTGAGTAATTATTACGAAAGACGATTATATTAAAGGTACCAATTTTCGACCAACATTTCTAATAGCTGACATACATAAACAGTACGTTGGAATTCACAAACGAAAGAAGCTCTTGTAGAATTCGTAAAATTTATTGATTTTTGTTCAGAACAATAGTAAACAAACATCTATTGCGTTTCAATTAAAGAACGAATTTTTATGGAATAATTTAACTGAAATAATTCATTTTCATAAAATGATTAAAAATCATTTAAAGTTCTTAAAAATTTCTATCAACAAAATCTTTAAAAAATATCTCTCTAATATTTTAACGGTCACCTAATTTTCTATGTCACAATAAATATACAATTCCTTATTGTTGCAATTTCAATAAATGACTAATAACAACTGAGGATATTATATTGGAAAAATATTTTATTAATATAGTGTAGATGCAGTTGCTTGTGAAGGCACTACCTAAACCCTTCAGATGTTCTGTTTATTCGTTAAATTGCAAACTTGAACAAAAAAATATGGAACGCTTCACGATTTTGCGTGTCATCCTTGCGCAGGGGCCATGCTAATCTTCTCTGTATCGTTCCAATTTTATTATATGTCCCACCGAAGTGGGACGACTATCAGTCTATCGTATGGCTATATATATTGAATCAAGAGAAACGGAAACAAAAAGGTGAATGAGGAGAATGAAGAATTTCGAGTAATACAAATAGCTGACATCTATTTAAAAGAAAAACAGTCCTGCTGGATTACTTCTGTTAATTTACTTTGTGTTTTCGATGCATACTGTTCGGTTACTATACTAATCTGCTCAACAAATTGTTCACATATTAATTTATGACATCATCGCAATATATGAAGAAAATTTTTCTCGGCTAAGGCATGTAAAAATTATTGTCATTTTTTTCTGTGCGTGAAATAATGCAATGCTTTCACGCAATAACATTGGTGTGCTGTCGTATATTTGATTGTAATTACGTAAACAAGGAGTGTTCTGAGAAAATTTGCTTTTCATCGTGACTCTTTGGCTTTAATTTCAATGATTTCAAATAGTATATCTCCAGAACAGTGAGTCCGTTGGAGTTGAAACTAGGTTTATTCCTAGCTCTAGTGTAGGTATCCACCGTAAAAATATCAGCCAAATCTATGAGATCGATTGAGCAATGATGGCCATGGCTTCATGTGTAATGCCTTCTAGAGGGCATTTTCATTTATTTTCTATTGACCACTTATCACTAATTTCTTTTATTCATCTTCACGGGATTTAAGAGCAAGTCGTGAATCGTATATTTCTAGCAAATGTGAAGCGATCTCATCTACATCAGCTGCATCGAGATTTGCAAAAACAACAGCAGTCACTTTCGCTTTTAAAACTCGAATTATCATCGTTTCAAAACCTTGCCATGTTCCGCTATGTTTAACAACATGCATTCCATCAACGGTTTCATCTATTTCCCAGCCAAAACCATATGGATAAGTTGTATTATCGTTTAATGTAACCGAACTCCACATTTCATCAAAACTTGTCTGATGCTTCAATAGTTTCTTGCTATTGAGTCCTGTGTCCCATTTCACCATATCATACATATTGAGATAAAGAGCACCATCAGCAAATGTATTCAGACTTGGTGCAACCCATTCTTGATTTTTGATTTTACCATCTTCAAGGGTGTAACCCGATGCACGGTTTAATACAATATCACTTTCACTAATCACTCGTGCTGTTTTCATTCCGAGAGGCTGGAAAATGTTCTTTTCAAGAAAATCACCATAAAATTCACCAGTTATTCGATGAATTAATACGCCGAGTGTGATATATCCGAGATTACTATATGAATACTGTTTACCCGGTTTAAAATCAAGTGGGATTGTCTTAATCAATTCAAACATTTCGTCTTCAGTAATATCTTCACGATAATTGAAATCATCAGGATAGTCAGTCGTGCCAGCAGTGTGTGTTAAAAGATGTCGAACAGTAATATGTTTCCATTCCTTTGGTGCATCGTCAATATATTCTATAATTGGCGTATCCAATTCAATATCTTCTCGTTCAACTAGTATCATTATAGCCATCGCTACAAATTGCTTGCCCATTGAACCCGATTGAAACATAGTTTCAAGCGTAACAGGTATTTTATGTTCAATATTCGAATAGCCATAACCTTGACCGTAGACTATATGATTATTTTGTATGATGACAAGTGAAAGGCCTGGTATCTTTTGTTTTTTCATTTCCGTTCGAACATATTCATCGATATCAGGACGAACATTAGTATCATGTCCTAATATAAATTACAGTGCATGAATTTGGCAAGTTTGATTTCTTTTTCTTGTCATAATCTAGCAAGTTGTCGAAGTAAAGAATACTCGTTACTATGCCGAAATATCTTAGCAGAATGAAAAGATTAAATTCCGATTCTTGTCAAATTGTTGCTCTAGTGGAAAAGCAAGAATATTTATTCTTTTTCTGTCTCATGAAGTCAAAAACTCATAAACTCTTTGAAACAAGGAAATTATTTGAAAGCGTTCTGTAGAAAAAAACAAATACTTCAAGAATGAACATCCGTTTAGGACAAATGTAAATGAGAGTTGACTCTAATCCAAGTTGAGTAAATTATGTTTTAGTTCTCTTCTCTATGATAGACTTAACTTACCAGTGGCACCATGAGACGATGAAGTTGCATGCATATTATTAGAATCAACCAAAACCTAAGAATGACTTAATAACTTCAAGAAGAAAGATTCTAAAGAAAATGCTTTATTAAATCACAATATTCGAATAAAAAACAATTAGAAGTTCTCGTAATTAAAGATTTATACAGCATATTTTTCTGCTTTTTTTGGCTCAATTTTTACTTATACTCGGCGCATTTTGCAGCTTTCGATTTACTTTACCAGAAAAAATATTTGTACAGATGCCTCATTTTCTAGAAGATGTCGAAAGAAAAAACAACACCAAGAATCAATACACTATGCTTAGTTCAAGAGGCTAATACAGAGTGGTGAGTTAGGATGACTTTGAGCAGATGAAAAGTCGTCACAAATCAGTAGAAGTTGCTGAAAATCACAGAATAACCCCAGTAGTCATACAAACTCATGATAAATCACTAAGACTGAATCGAATCTTCGCTGATTTAAATCACTTGCTTTCCCCTTGGTTTAGTTGCTCTTTAAATCAATCGTAGAGAACTCGTGATTGATTTATACTCTGACGAATCAAAATTTGATCATCTTCTATCTGTCTTTGTTTTGTGCACTCACCAAACTTTGAAGTAGATAGGAGTTCTTACTTGTTAAGAAAATAACAGACTGCTAGTAGATTTGAGTAATCGTCCAACGATTCAAAGTCTCTAAATAGAAAAATACTGCATTATTGCGCATTAGATTGCATGTGTAAACCATTTTCTTTAAAGTCACGCCATGTAAATATTGAAATACAAGCTTCACCTTGATGATCAATAATAACATATGTATCGATATAAAGACAAGAATCGATCACATGTGATGCGTTCTCTAATTGTAACAAATATTTTTACCGTCTCTTGAAATGACTAATCGTGTGCATAGTTTATCTCCAATCTTTATCATATAGCAAGCAGAGTGCTTGATTTAGCATCTCAAATTCTTTCGATTGCGACCGTTGAAAGACGATCTGAATGAACAATATTTTCATCATTAAAATTATATTGAAATTTCATTGGTATATAGGAGATGAGGTGTATGTGCATATGGAAAAATCAAAATTTAAGTAAGTGTTGATGTGCACATGGATTTGGGCGAATTTCCTCGAGGAACGCCCACATCTATACCATTCGGGTGCAACACTACTCGGTATTATTGCAGTTGTCTCATGACTTTGTAAAACGCCGGCAATAATCATTTAATGATTTGCTTACACGTTATCGAGAACATAGTGATAGACTGTGGGTAATCATTATTCCAGATAGCGTCAGTTGGAGCAACATAGTTATATGCAATAAAGCATGGTTTCTTGTTCGAGTTCTGTTGGGTATGGATGCAGGTAAATGTAAAACATCCAAATCCATACCCTCTTTTTTTCTTGCTTTGTTTTGTCACTGGTTGCTTCTCATTGCAATTAGTATTGTTTTTTGCTATAAAAAACTAAAAACTCATTTCAAGTTTTCTAATCTTACCTACGACTTGCAAATCACTATGCTTCATCATACAGTGGCTATATGACTGTTGCATTCCCTATCCCTTCATTGCTGTCTTTTAAAATCCTTGAAATCTGCATGTCGTGATGAACTCTTTGTTTTTTTTTTCAAAGTAAAATTTCGTTCTTTTTTTTAGTAATAACTGAAGTGTAGATCATCACTTCATTTCTTGTGAGCACATTCAATGATCCTTTTTTCAACACAAATCTAATAGCAGATGTGTTGATCGCTTTTATCCATTCTGTTTGAAGTCATGTCAATAGAAAAAAATCTCAATTTAATTTAGTGTGCTCTCATGTTATACTCCAGAAAAATGTTTTCAATACGAATGAAGGGAACCGGATTCGTTTTTTCGAACGATAAACTTTAATGTTCATGAATAATCATTTTCTATCAAAACATAAGTATATATTATTCATCGTTTTTGTCTATAAGTGTCATTGAAAGTACCAGTTGTTTTTGTTGTAGTCGAACTTTCAACTGGCTGAGAATCGTGATTGTGGAAGAGTTTTCATCATCAGGATAATAAAGCCGATAGATATGATAGTTTGTTTGATTGGCAAGTAAACACTCTATTTCATTGATAGATATTTGAAATGTATTTTGATTAGACGATCGACTTGTTTTGACTTCGATCAATTCGATTTTATTGTTTGCAGTCGTGTCAATGATTCGAATGTCGAATGGTTTCCCAGATTCTTGCTGTTGATTGACCCATTCAATTGTTTTTTTAGGGTGTTTCCATTCTAGATATCGATAGACGAATTCTTCACCTCGGCGACCAAATTTTGAGTCAACTTCATTGCCAGCCGAAGTACCCATAGGAGGCGGTAGTATATTCGGCGACGAGACAGAAGAGAGAACAAAATTCTTCAGAGTTGCAACATGAATATGTTCGAAGTTAGTGGGTGGTGGTGTTACACTGAAGTCAGCAAGCGAGAAGGAGGTAGAACAAGATTTGGCCAATCGATCTGACGGTGAGGGGTCGTTTGTGTTAGATTTTGACTGTTCTTGTACTGAAATAAACATAATAGAAAGAAAACACGAATTATTTAGAAAATGATTGTAACGTGATATTTTCATGCTCCGGATGTTTAGATATTCCGTTTTCTGTATTTATGCGTCTCGAAGTCTATTCAGTAGGAATATTTTCATTCTCACCATTGGGTCGCTTGTCACTATCTTGTGACACCAGTTGATCATCATTTTTCTTCTTACTAGTTTGCTCACAATCATCTCTTGGTTTGGGCACCGATGACATCGATTCTGTTGGATTATTTGGAGAGCTTACCAATAGGTTTGATATCATTGCCTCTATTGATTGTAACTGCGATTTTTGCTGTAGCTCTTGATTTGAGGATTCAATAGTACTATCCTTTCCAGCTTTCATAGGAAAACAGGTCAGCGATTTTGGCTTATTCGGATCTATCGTGGTATTGATAGCCGGCTTGGGTGGCTGCCACCCAGGTTGATTTCTCATTTTTTCTAACATTTCGAATGGAATATCAATTGATTCATTACTCTCTGCATTTTCTTCTTCGCTTAGTGACGAATCCGACTCGTTTTTGATGAGTTCTGGAATGATCCATGTGTGTTGTGATTTTTCAGGAAGAAGGTCACGTTGCTTTGCCAGACCCTCTATGTCTTCAGCTTTATAAACTTTAAAAAGATATGTGATATATTGAGAAAGTTTTAAACGAGCCGACTCGTCTGAAACAAGATAGTTCACCATCGTATTAATATGGTAACTCTCGAATTTTTCATATTTTTTCAAAATATAAAATTTTTTTACTGACTCATTCATGTAACTGTCCAAACTAGACGATGAAGATGCTGCTCGTACTATACTCTCTTGATAACAGTAGGATAGGCGAATATAATCAACTGATACAAACTGCACAGAAGAGAAGATCGATTGAAGATAACAGGATCGTGATTCGGATATGAAATTATTGCTTAGTAAAAAATGTTGAATGAAATCAATTGAACAAGCATAGAAATCGAGTAGATCTGTAGATGTTTGTTCATTATCAACATTGACCAACACTTTGATAACATCGGCAAGATTGTTGATATTGAAAAGTGAGCAAAACCGTTGTTTGAATTCCGCAGAGCAAAATAAAACATCTGTGAACATAAAACAAAAACCACAACTCAGCATTTTTTGCCAGGTTCAATATTGACTGTTTTTTTCTCTACCTGGCAGTTTAACAATCAATAAAGTGTCCGCAAAGATATCGGCGATGTTCATATCATGTGGATAATATAGCTGCTCAGTATATTTAAACAATTTATTTTGATTTCCCAAACACGGAATAAAGGCCCAATCGAGACATTTATCTACATTAGTTAGAGAAAATTCCTTTTGATTCTTTGTTTATGTTTTTTTACCTTTTACTGTTGTTTGTTTATTCTGTGCAAATGCTAATCGTGTAATCACTTCGATACATTTCCAAATAAACTCATTGGTCTTGTCAGTAATATCGAACAACAATGGAAGATAATCATCAAGTGTTGGTTCACATTTCACTTGAAGGACATCAACAAAGAATTTTTGTAAATTAGCATCGTTCCCATAGTAGGGTTGTATGGGTGTACTGCGAATCGATTCAAAATTTCTCATATTTTCTCTTGTCAGTAATGCTTCAGAATCTCTCCAAAATACTTCATCAATGAATAAAAAGTCACCCGTATTGACAGTTCGTGGAATAAATATGAGTGGCCATAAGCGGAAGCGAACAAGACGAGCACAAGTATCACTGTCGGACGCTAGAAATAGGTAGATATGACGAATATTATCAATTGTATCACGGCACGACTGACGGAATGTGGTCGGAATTGTGCAAGGAATCCTGAAAAAATTGAAAAATATTTTTGTATGTAATTATCAAAGTGCCACTTACACATTCAGTGTCATGTGCATTAATTTTCCTAATGAATCACGGTCAAGATCACACGACCATTTCATAAAGAATTCGAACATCGTCATGCGAGTTATTTCTTGTTGAAATCCAAGTAACCTAATCAAATTGGTGTTCTTCAATGGAATTTTTGATCGATCCAAATGTGGCACATAGCGACTGAAAGGATGGTTCAACGGTAAAAAGTAGACATCTGTCGGCTTCAAAAACTGACTGCCAACCGGTATCCATGGATGCTTTCTCAACAAGGAATAAAACGAAGATTCGATACCTTTGACTGGCCCTATCCCTAGTGTATGTCGAGAACGAGCTCGAATAACAGAAGCGACGAAGTAGGCAGAGATAGATTCAAAATGTCGATCGAAATACAGTAGAATTGGCGTGTATCGAGCTGCATCAAGATTATCCTTCGACGAGACGAGTGCATCAAATTCGTCGCAACAATAATCGGTTATAAAGAAAGGTTCGTAAATTAACGAGGATAATGTGGCAATTTCATGGGCCCATTGCGTTCCAACAAGTTGCTCAACTTTAATAAAGGCTAAATGAGCAATAAAAAATTTCAGAAAATAAAACAGTAAAATATACTCTGAAATATCAAAACTTACGATGTTCAATTGTTTTTACTAGAAAAAAATCATGAATATTGAGATCATTGAGAAAATGAATAAATAGATTTCGGTCACTATCTTTGAGAAAGAGTTCGGTTCGATACTCCTTAAAGTAATCATCCGAAATGAATGTAAATTGATCGGCTAATGCTGTCAATGAATCAAGCGATCGTTCACATCCATACAATGAAGTCAAATGAATGATGTTGGCGCCATTGGAATCGATGCGTACAAATTTTCCTTGACGAGTTTTAACAATCATTTGGTTTTTCAATTCATCCATTTGCTGTATAAATAAATCAGGTCGAGGTGCATATAGATCTTTGTAAATACACATAAGATAAGCAATAAGAACCGAATCCGATTTCTTCGACCATTGAGCATCATCCATCATGACGGGTAATATATGATTGGAATAAATCCTTCGGATATTGAGTGCATCAGTAATACCTGAAAAATTTACTTTCTTTGTTTAGATGAATTAAATATAGATTCGTGTTGAGATCTACCTAAATCTTTTAGTAGACGTTTGATCGAATCGAAACGTCTTGGATATTTGCTTTCGATAAAATCAAGAAGTCGTTCGTCAATCATTGGTGTATCTTCAAGAACAATTTTGAGATATTTGGCATATGGAGTTTTTTTATTTAATGGAAATAAAATAGCTCGTTGACTAAATTCTTCAATGGATACCAATCGTGATTGATGTTGTAATGGGATAATTTTCATTTTTTTCAATTCCTCCATCGTTGTTACTCCTGATCCGTCATCATGATCAAAATTAAATCCAGGTTTTTCTCGTTCTTGCTGTAGACTATAGTCAATACAAAGTAGCCATTGAGCAACTAAATGTTGAACAACGAAAATTCATCATTTCAACACTGAATAAGAAACTTACTTTGTTCAATGCTGGTGGTTTTGGTTGAATGTTCTTGTTCATTTTGTGTATACAACGTTCGAATCAACCGTAGAATAGAGGAGAAATCAAGTCGTTGGCAACCTAATCTCATAAGAATTGCTTCATCGCATTCCGTGACAATCTGTTCGTCGAGATAATAACTATTAAAATGAGATAAAAGCAAATCTTGAGAGAAAATCTCTCGTATAAATGCATCTCGAACAACAACACAACGTGTCGGTGAGACCCATTCAAGAATTTCGTTACGTAGAACAGGCAATTGAATAATACCCATGAGTAATTGAATACTTTTATCAATAAATGTATTAAAATAGGGATCGATTTCATTGCGAGTCGGGATTAGTTTAAGAAAATATTTGAGCGTTTGAATCGATGTTAGTAATTGATTATTTTGCTGCAAATCGAGTGAACAAGAAATAAGAAGATCAGGTAGATGTTGAAATTGTTCATAGGCTAATGGAAGAAGTTGAATCATTTCTGTTTTAAGCCATTCATTCCACATATTATCGCGTAGAACTTCCTGTCGCGTAGCCGGAATTTCAAAGTCGGCTTGAAGAATAAAGCGAAAGCCATACGAACGAAGTGGCAAATAAGCAAAAAGTGGTTGTGTCGATGAAATTTGATGAGATGACGATTCAAAAATGGGATTTAATGGATAAGCAATAGCAATGGTTGTCGACTCAACATCACATTTGACGTCACTCAATTTCATCTAAAATTTGAAATCGATTATGCAATGAAACCTTTTTTTTAAACTTGCTACACTAACCTTAACATCGGCTGGTACTTGAATAACTTTTTTAACAACAAGCCAAAAATTTTTGATGATCTTTTCTGAGTTGGTGGTTCTCTCTTGTAATTCAATAATTTGTCCTCGAGCATGATCAACTCGAGTAAAGACTCGACTATTCATCTCATTCTTTCCTTGTTGACGAACAATTTCAATTTGTCGAAGACGATTAAGAAACAATAATAATCGAGCTTGAATATCATCGAAATTTCGTTTTAATCGATCGCCACGTTTTTCCTGCTTGATCGGTAGACGAATGCATGTTGCCCATTCCTCGACTGATGGCAATGCTTCATCATATTTTTCTAACCAAATCGGACGAATGTAACCTATTTGTTTAGTACCATTGACCGTATCGAAACAAAAATGGTAATGTCCCGAATGAATTTCTGGACGATGGGATACCATAAATACGGATTTAAACCCGATTCCTACCGATGAACATTCACTATTAATAGATTTGCCCATATGAACTCTTACCTTTGTGCCCGGCGTAGCCTTGTTTATGTTTGCCTTTGGTCGATTTGCCCACATTACATATTGCCGATATGTGATTGGACTGAAAGCCAATTTCATTATTACAGACAAGAATTCGTTCGGAACATAAAATAAAACGTAGTGTAGGCAAACGATCAGGAGCATATTGATTGTCATCAGCATTTTGAATGAGTTCCAAAACAAAATGACCTTGCTCTGAGTAGAGATCGTTGGATAGTTTTTCTAAACTTCGTTCAATCATGCCTTGAAGATTAGTTACAATGGACTGGCCGGCTGCATCGAGGCTGCTATCTACACCGAATCCTTCACGAATCTTTTTTATATGATCAAAGGCCACACTTGCGGGATCATTCTCGTCGATGTTCGATTTGTCAATCGAAATTGTAGTGCTACTGGTTGCTGTAATAGGTGGCGGAGTTAAAATTAATGTTGTTTCAATTTTGGTTGGCGCAAACAGATTGTCTAAGGTTATGGTTTGAATCAAATAACAGAATTAGTTAGACTAGAAAGGTTGATTTACCTTGACGAGTAATTACTTTCGTTTGTATTTCTTCATCCAGTTTTTGATGAGCGAACTCTTCTTGGGGTTCATTTATTCCTTTCCACTTATTCTGATTTTTCCATTCATTTAAATCTAGTATATAGCCCCACATTTCTAATTTGTTTCTCTGTTCAGCATTTGCCAACTTCCAGATTGTTTGCCGGGCATTCATCATTCGATGTTCGTCATCATTACCAAATACGTCGTCGAGTGATTCGAGCACAAGATCTTGAACGATTCGTGTTTGACCGATAAGTGCCGGCAAATAACTTATAAATTCGAGTACGTACTGCATCGGTTCAATAGAATCAGATTTCAATTGAGCAGCTGATCTAAGACGAATCAACCATGTGGTTATTACTTGTCGATAGATGGTTAGTGGAATTCGATTGACTTGAACATACTCTCGAGTAATCAATGCACACAAGTGACCGACCGCCGAGCAAATATTATTTTTCTCAAGCTCTTTTTCGAAATTATCAAGAGAAAAATCACTTGGTAGACGTAAAAGCTCATGATTTGATAGTTCGAGCAAGAGAAGTTGATTGAACTCGTATTCTTTTCGTACTATGAATGTTTTAAGCGAGCCATATCTTGGCTGGAAGAAAGTTGACCATTGTAACCAGGCGAATAGATCGACCATGATTGGACATTGAAGAATAATTTGACATAATTGTGTTTCATCAACAAGCAGCGATGATGGACAAATTCCCAATCGATTCAGGGCGGTCACATCCAATAATGATTCTTCAAAGCTAACAAAACAAAAAAACAATGTCTTACGATAGAAGTAAAAATAAGCGATCTAGTTTGTTTTCATTCAAAAAATTGGAAAAGATTTTTCATCTTACGGAGCATTGTCTAATGAATCTTTTCATGTCAAGAAAAACCTGAACTGAATTATTTCGAAAAAAAATAATACTCACTGAATTATTGGATGCATCATTTTGTTAGGTTTTTGCTTTGTTCTACTAAGAATTTGTGAAGGTCGATTAAAACCAAGGAGTCCACCAAATTTATGTTTGACTGCTTTTTCGATAGCCGACAATTGGTCTTTAGTCATATGAATTTCTCTCTTGTTGACACAGTGTTGTTCTTGTTCTTCTTCCTTTCGATCATTTAACACAATGAGTTGATTAACAAATGAATACATTTCTTGTCGATCGCCTACGGAAGAAGAACTTTCATAGATAGATAATTCTCCATTAGGATCAATCTTTTCACGATATGCATAAAGAAATGAGATAAGATCAAGAGGTATATTGTCGTCGTCGTCATCATCATCATTGATTCCAAAGTCAGAGAATCGCTTGACGGAATGTTGATTACAGAGACGTTTTTCAACATCAAATAATTGTTTTATACTTAGCATCGTATCATAACGTTCGAGAAGTTTAGTCAGATCGGTACATATTTGTTTGAGAGATATTTTCGGTCTTTTTGAATCCGATGGCATGAATGAAGCTTCAAAAGACGTGTCAATTGTTGTATGAGATGCAACGCTGCTTTCTATCGACTGCAAAAAGCAAATAACAAATCTTATCAATCGAAATGCTTTTCAGATATTAAAAAAAGAAAACTCACTTTTCGTTGTTTGCTTGATTTCAGTGGATGATCTCCATCTCGATTCGTGTTAACAGACTGCAGTGCAACATTCTGTCTTCCCAAACTAGCCCCTTGAGATTGATAGAGTTTTTGTAGATCCGCAAGAAATTTATCAGGCTTGTCGATTGTACCCAAATAAATACTAACGTTTAAAAGACATCGTAGTAGTTCGTCATTTCGAATTTTAATCATTATATCATGAATGTTTTTTTGTTCCGGTACAGTCAAATACTTTTCGACAATCGAAGAAAGATGATCGATGACGGCTACGGGTGATTTTGTTGCATAGGCTGACAACTCGAGTTCATTCTCGACTTCTTGTTTTATTTCCCACAACTTTGTCTGAAATAGACTGATCATTTGTTGTCTAACATCTGCATCGGTTCTTCTTTTGTAAAGAGTATATTCTCGAGTCATTTTCGTTGTTACCTAGAAATTTTGATGTTTTCGTTTTGTTTAGGTTTAATTCAATTTAACGTACTTCAGTTAAATACGGAAACGATTTACAATAGATGCCGAGTTCTTCGCGCTTTTGCAATTGATATTTTTCAACTAGATTATCAAGAAATTTTTCATAAGGAAACTGGCGTCCTCTATTCAAATCTTGAAACTCTAGATAAGAATTGACGATATCTGCACTAGTGATGGCTGGTATGGGCTGATGGCGTTTTGTCGGTTTATAATTAAATATTCGTTTTACATCAGGATGCTCATCGAGCGGTCCTATGTGAGCGTCTTCGTATGTGTCGACTTTGAGAAATTTAGCAAGTAGTTGACCGAGATCATGCAACGTGCATAAATTAAAAACTTCTTTGAATACTTGCATATAAAAAGTGACATCTTTATTGTAATGAACAAGATTTCTTATTGCATTAAGGTGATGTGGATGAACGCCTAATTCACGAAATGAATTCTTTTCATAAAATGCAAAAAGTTCTTGTTCAACACGTTGAAGCGATACAAACTCTTTACGCAAATGAATAGTCAAGATGATTTCACATAGTTTGGTATTCACATCTTCTTCTAGCTTCGATTTGGGTCGAACATCCGATTGAGTTCTAACGTTGTCTAGAGAAGGAAAAGAAAATGATTCGCAGACAATAACAGTTAGTTCGAACGAACATTGTATTGTTTCCTATCGATTATAAGTTTAGAAGAGATTAAATGCCGGAGCGTGATCTTATTATGGTTAGTATTTGAAAGCATGAATAAAGATGCTTACTTGAAGTCGAACCATCAGCTGAATACGTCTTATTGATGTTAACGACTTTTCCCTTTGTGGGCTCAAGCATAAAATCTTGTAAGGCTAGAGTTTTGGGTTGGCCCGCCAGACTTTTCCAGGGGCCCGGCCTTTTTACAGCGGATGCTCGTGTTGAATCATCAACTGAGAGTAAAACAATGAAAATAACAAAGAAATTTTATATCAAAGAAGAAATATTGCACCTGATTGAGCCACACTTTGTTGTTGCCTACTTTCTTCAGCTGTGGATGGTCTTCGATCCTTGCAAATAAAGTAATGAAAACATGTATCGTCTAATAAAAAAAATATTATTTACTTGAATGGAACGGGCTGGATTGCCAGACATGCCACTAGTAGATGGTGTTGGAAGTAGTGGTGGGAATGATTCATCGTAAGTAACACTATCAGTTGTTGATGATGCGCCTGCAGCTGCAGAAATTCTTCTTTGATCGTCTCTTGCTTGTTTCCCACCTCTGGGATCAATATTCTTGCGATTGTTACGGCTCATGGTCGTAACCAGCGTCAGCACAAGTAGAAAAAAACAACAGATATTCTACACGCTGATGTTGAGTGTGATCGACTAAATCTCGCCTCTTTTGTTTTTGTTTGTCAAAGGAAAGTTAATAAAAATAAAAGAATGTTTCAGACTCTCATATCAAGCTTACACAAGATTCCTTCAAACCATAGACGTCGAAATTGTTTACGATTCAGTGTGTGGGTATTTTTGCATTTGCCCGACTGTTTTTTTTATAATAACAAAAAGGCAAACAGCAACGCTGTTAGAAATAATGCATTGGTGTTGTTTTTCCTTTCTTTTTACTTCATTGTGAGAAAAAAAGAAAGAAATAAACTATTTTTTTCTTCCAATACCCATATATTACGTCCATTACGTTCGAATTGCGATGTAGTTACGTCGCAACTACCATACAACATCGTAGTTACGTGCAGCGTGTGGTTTTTGTGCCTTTGTCACACCCTAACTCTCATTTCATGAAAACTGTCATCACATGCAAACAGAGTTTTTAAATGATTGAACTGAGAAAATGAACTTAACTGTAGTGGATTCAATTCAAGGGTCGCTATAGCCGTTAGATACAAAATAGTATAATTGATATTATTTGTCACTTATCGACTATTTTCAATACCATATATCTTCGCTAAAGTGTAGTATGTCAAAATAAATAACTTGATCAATATATGATCGATTTTATAACTGATACAACTCAAAGATGCTATTTTCATGTAATAGTTGCATTTATTGCTGTGTAGCAAGCTTCTATTTCTTTAAATCGGTTTGCTTTCTATTCATTTTGCTTCGAAATAAATATCTGCTTGGAATTTTTGCATTCAGCGATTATATTTCATCTATTTGAATGTTTACAATAAAAACTTTATTGACAGTGCGTATAAGCATGAATCGAATCTGAACAACCATCTCTCTTTGTCTTCTCTTTTGTTACATACGATATTGAAGGCAGTTCATCAATGGATGTTTATCTATCAAGATCATACGGCAACTAAATAAAACATAATTATTCATGAAAAAATGAATATGAATAATGTCATATGCTTAGTTGATGATATGTGCCGTGTTCTCATAAGAATACTTGCTTTAATATCGATACGTTGTCGTACTCGAGGAGACTTTGCATGCATAGATACTGTTGGCACGATTGCAGTAAAAAGAAAGACGAATCCTCGAGTTTTGATTGCTTGTATTTATATGTTAGATGTTGATATAGAAGTGTTCGTCAAAGTTGCTTGAAATTCATTATTATAACATGTTATTCAATCTCTCAAAAGCTATACAACTGAAATTTACTTTGGCCCAATATATTCGAATAGAAATCTTTGAGATTAATTAGTCTTTTTCATTTAAAATTGCTCGTCTTACCCGTAGCTGCTGATCGACAACCGACAGCTATTTTTAAAATTCTTTTTTCATTTCTCCCCAGCAGAAATACAAATACAGGCTTCGAAAACTAACTTTTCATTATGATCACTACTGCACATTACCTACGATCTATTTTTTTCAAAGTTTAAATTTTCGTTCATTTTCAGTTTAATGTTGACCAACTAACTCGCAGTGAAACACATGTCTATCAACTCGTGCCATCTATAGCTCAAGCACATCATTCCTTAACTCCGTTTCTTTCTGTCCACTGAAGTTAGTTGAATCCATTCAATATGATGAACATATGATTGGGTTACTGTTGAATTGTTTAACAGACTTTTGTTTTCTTGAATTCTTATGTCTTTATTTCAAAAATGAAATTAATAAAACCAGAATGGATTGAACATGGACCAAAAGAAAGTCTATCATCACTACATATTAATCCTGAAGGTATTCGTGTTGCCATAGCTGGTAAATATAATGCTGTCGATTGTATTCGTATATTTCGTCTTGCATCAATACTCGATGAAAACTATCAAAAACAATCGAGACTTCTTTGTCGTATCGATACACAATGTCCACTATGCGTGCGATTTTCATATACAAGTGATGTTCTAGCTGTTGCTAGTCGTCAAAGTGTACTACTCTATCATCTAACAGCAACAAATCCAAACGTAACAAATCGTAAGAAGTCAATCAACATCTAATGTATTTATTTAAATATTTTATAGAACCAGTTCAATCGTCATCATCATTCGGTGATTTTCCTGAAACTTGGCGTCTTCGTTCAAGTCTATCATCTGGCCATGTTGCTGATATATTGGATATAGCATGGTCTCCGTCGAACGATCATTATTTAGCATCATGTTCAATTGATAATCATATTTGTATTTATGCGTGGCCATCGGCTACACTTGTAACAACACTTCGAGGACATACAGGTCTTGTTAAAGGATTAGCGTGGGATCCTACGGGCCTTCTATTAACATCACAATCATCTGATGGAACAGTTAAAGTATGGTCAAGTACATCATGGCAATGTGAACAAACAATCAAAGAACCTTTTGATGGTTGTGCTGAATCTACATCATTTCTTCGACTTGATTGGTCACCCGATGGTACCATGTTTACAACAGCTCATGCAAAAAATAATACGTAATAGAATGGTTTCTTTTTAAAGTCTAAATAAAGATTGTTGACGTAGTTTTTGTTTTGTTTTTACAGGTTTCCAGTTGCAGCTTGTGTGATACGTGGAGCATCAACAGTTGACGCTGAATTTGTTGGTCATCGTCGAGAAGTAACATGTGCACGTTTCTTACAAAGAATTCTATTAATCAATGGTCGTCGTCGATGTTTATTAGCTATTGGAAGTAAAGATCGAACATTATCATTATGGTTAACAAGTCCGCGACAACCACTTTGTGTAGTCAATGACTTTTTCGCCTCAGGTATACTTGATATGTCATGGTGTTTAAATGATGATAATGGTTTAATTACGCTTGGCATTTGTTCGCCTGATGGTGCTTGTGCTTTTATTATATTTAATAAAGATGAACTAGGCACACCATTAACACGTCCGGAAATGGCGAAATTTTATAGTGACATGTACAAAGTTAACATGTCGATACCAACGAAAGCAATTACAAATGGGTTAGTATTGAAAAAAAGACATGACTTTGATAGATGTCATACTATAAACGAGTATATTTATTTAAATAGTACGCTGATGACAAATGGAAATGGTCACAGTCATCATGTACCACCATCAACAACAGTCAAAGCAACATTAGCTAATCAAACTGAACGTCGATTAGGTGATGGTCGTCGTTGTATTAAACCATTGTGTATCGATACTCATGCAGCTGCACCACCTTCAACGACAGCAACAACAATATCAAAAGCTCCATCACCATCGCGGCCTACAACAGTTTCTACATCTGTTCCTGCACCTTCTTCGAATTCATCATCGGTTCGTCCTATGCCTACGATTCCGATTGATCCAAAACCTACCAAAGGTGTTATTCGATCATCAACTTCATCCATTACATTACCTTCATCAATTAGTTCAACAGCATTATTTCCTCCTGTTAAATTGCAACCTAATCTAATACGTAAAATTAATAATGAATATGAATTACGGACAGAAAAATCCGATCAACTTTATATATTATCATGTATTAACGAAAAAACAAAATTAGCACAATGGAAAAATGTCTTTCAATCACCGCTATTGGCTATACAGGCAACTAAAAATTTCATTGCAATTGTTACTCTAAACGAAACACAACATTGCTCGGAGTTATTTGTCTTACAACGGCAAAGTGGTCTACGTTTATATTCAAATATTGTTCTAACACAAACATTAGCTGGTCTTTATATATCAGAAAATGCTAATAATATACAACGAGCAACTATTTCATTAATTTACATTACTGGCTTATTAACGGTATTCGAGATAACACGTCATTCAATGATATGTCCTATAATTGATGTTAACATTTCACATTTATTACCACCGCATGCATCAATAGTAGATATTTTTACGTTAAATCACATCAATTCGGATACTGTATGTTTAATAACTAGTAAGTATAACTGTTATCTGGCAAGATTCAAAAACTCTTAACATTTATTTAATTCTAATAGGTACGGGACATTTATATGGATTTGATAATGTGCTCAAACATTGGACATGTTTATTTCATAAGCACGATTTTGTATCTGACTTTGCTCTTCCACCTGAATTAACATCTTCGGGTCCCCTGTCGACATTAACGAAATCATATTGTACTACAATGAACGATGATACTTACCAAAAGAATTTATATTCATCATCAAATCGTGAATTACTTGTCTCTGCATATCTTGAAACACAAATTCATCGTTCTCGTGTACTTCATTCGTCGCGTGAATATTATTTTTGGTTAACAAGTTTCGTTCGATTTCTTGCAAGTTCATCACTCGACGATAAATCTCTAAAATTAAAATCAATACTAGATCATATAGCTGAACATGTACATAGTACACCTACGAATTCAACTACAAGTTTCATGCCTTTAAAAACAAAAGATGAATATCAAAATTTATTAAATGAATGTTTGACTATTCTTCGCAATCATGATGATGCATCAACATTAGTTCAGCATTATGAACAAACATGACAAGGCGTATTTTAGCATCGATATTTTTCTTTTTGTCAAATGTTTGTATATATTGTATGGATAGAAAAAAAATCATGATCAACCAACAGTGCAATAGAAATGAATGTATACATATTTTTTTTTGGTTATCTTTCGGTGCATATCTGTGTATCGCAAATATAAATAAATATAAATCATGAGATGATATAAATTTAAAATATTTTGTAATTTAATGCTCGCAGGCAGTGACCAAATGAATAGTACCGTATTCGGAAAGGCACGGACGCAACACAGTTGGATTGGTCGCCAAAAAACCATGATTATAATACTGATTGCAAGTATCTTCATTTTCCGGTCGGTAAATCACAAAATCGTTGAGACGAAGAATTTAATTCACCATGAATCTTTGGATTTATATTTCAGTTTTTAGTTAAATTAGTGTTATGTCGAAGAAAAAAACTTGTTAATGAAACTTTTGTTTTGCTATTATCATCATTTTAGAGAGAATATCTGAATATAGATTTGTTTATTTCAATTGATTTTGGCTTTATTTTTTTTTGGTATGTATACATAGTTTTCTTTTTTTTGTTACAAACGACTTAGTTCCAAGTGTACAACATTTAATAGTTCGTTTCTTCTATGATTGGTCGTTGTAGGACTCTTTACATTGTGGTGTGATTTGTGTTGATCGGCTGCTGAAAATGTTGATGCTCGACTAATATTAGATTTCAGCGAGCTTGTTATTTCACTAGCATTTCTACCAGTTGAATAACTAATTGTCATAATCTCTTTATGATCTGAAGACACATTTGAATGTGAATGACAACCATGCTGAACCAAGAATGATTGCCATAATGCACGTTTTGGTTTTGATAGATAAACATGAAAAAGAAATATAAGAAAGCCTTGAAATGAATTGCATATCGAAAAGATTAATTGATGATTAAAACTAGGATCAATAAGAACAGTAATACCAAATAGCCAAGTACATCCTACAATCAAATAGATATAAATAAATTCAGTTTAACCAAGTGAACTCTTACCAATGGAAACAAAACAACAAAGAGTTGCACCGATTTGAACTTTTGAGTATTTCTTCTTTTTTGTAGCTACGACAGCATTATGACGAAATATACTTCTTAGAATAAATCCAAAGAGAATTAAATTAAACAAGATAATAGTAGATATTGGTAGAAGAAAAGTCAAATTTAGAAGATTTTGATTATTAATCCAACATCGAGATTCTTCGGTGTAACCCCGATTGTGACCGAGTAAAACCACGAGAGAAGGAAATATGAGTGGAACTATCCATCCGATTGTACATGATTTAATGTAAAAATGTGATATATGTGTATTAAGTATTCGAACAAAATGCATATATTGAACAATAGCCATAATTAACATCCACATAAAGGATGCAATGAGAAAATAATGAAATAAAAATCCCAGTATAGTACAAAAAATATGTTGGTTTAATTTGAATGAACTCGATTGAGTAAAACTAAATGGAATATAACAACAATTAACGAATAAAATTGATAAACATAACATTATTAAAGATATATGAGAACGATTGTTTTGTGAACTGCTACAACAAAAAAAGATTTTAATATTAAATTGCGTAAACATATTTATTTTCTTTTACCGGAAAAGTACATAAGTAATTAGTGTCATAACAAGGCCAAATATAGATAAGGAAATGCCAATATATGTTACAAATGTCAAAATTAATTCTTCAAATGCTGATAGTAGCTCGAGACTTTGATGTGGGTTAGATATCTAAATACAAGAAGGAAAAGATTGTTTTCTAACTCATAAAACTTTTAATAAATTCCATTCGATCTCAGAAATTCTACAGTTCCCTAACAATAGCCAAGTTAAAAATATTTAAGTATTTGTAAGAAATACCGTTCAGCACCTATATAGATAATTCGTTTCAAAATAACTAATCGTCGTAGAATGAAATTTCGTTGATTTACGCAGACCTCTGTCGGTTGTCTTAGCTTACCATAAGTACAGCAAAGTGGGTTAAATGATTACAATAACATTGCGCATAATTATTCACATATCCAGCAAAACGACAATCATGATCAGCTACCCATGATCCATTATTCTTATCGAATGACCAATATACACAAGCAATATTATACGATTGAAGTGACTGTAAAAACAAAATAGATAAGAAAAATCCGATGGTATCTTTTTCCTACCTCTGATACTTGAATCTGAAATCTGATTAGATCGTTATCTGCTTTAATTGTTGTGAAATTCGCTATTTGATACGATAGCGGTACTCCAAAATTAGTAATATTTGTTTGTGGAAATAGATTAAAATTAGAAAAAATTGTTTCGACAATACGATAATTTTTAGATTGAATTAATTGTTTTTTTAACGCTTGAATATTAATTTCAATAATTGTATTCAAATATTTGTTCGTATTTATATTACGCCATTCATTACTTTCATTTTGAAAATTTATGTCAAATATGGATAGATTCATATTTTCGTATTCAAACGAAATACTTCGATTACTTCCGATTTGAATTTTAGCTGAAAATGAATCAAGAAATTGAAGTAATCTATTAAAATATGAATAGGAAATTGAATAAAAGAAAATCATAGAATACTTATTCGTTACTGATTTATATAAACTATCTTCGAGTTTAAGTTGTCCAGTAAAATTTACAAGTTGATCAAACATATTTAATATATTCGTAGTTTGATTAGTTGTAAACGAATCTAGATTAAGTAAATCTTCAAATGCTTGAGTCCTCGTTACTAATGTCTCAATATTTAGTGAAATTGTATTTTCAAAATTAGCTAATAAATCTTCGATTTTAGTGAAGCCAATTATCTTTGCAAAAGATTCAAAACGTGTAATATTGATTGGTTTAGTATCTATAGAATAATCATTCATATTCTTCCATAGAGAAATGAAGATATACCTTCCATTTGACATATAACACCAAATGTTGGTTTAGTACAAGGAATATCGTTTAATTTACCAGTTTTTTCCAATGCTGATTTTTCATCTGTATGAACAATAATTTCAACACACTGCTCTCCTCCTCGATAGTTAGGACTTCGATAATTGTTCGGTTCATTTTTATTCCATACTGTGACTTTCTTTAGAAACAAAAGAGAAAAACACAAATTCTTATGAATACGGGTAGCAAATAGAAACACGAACTTTTTGTCCGTCGCTGCCGATGTAACATAGAAGACTTGAATTAGCATAGAACGTATGAGCGTAATCATCACACTAGAAAAATAAAAATTAATTCTTCACGTTAGATGAAATTATGCTTTTCCACCAGTAGCGGATTCAATACCACTCTGGTTTACTTTAAAAAAATCCAAGTAACCATGAGTATTTGTGTCTAGAAAAATACTCCACAGCCTCGAATAGATCTTTGTACTATTTAGAGTTACTTGTGCATGATACCATAGTTAATATAATCCAATGTGCGACAATCGTTCTAGTTTTCGCTGAGCAACATTATGAAATAGCAACATAAAAATATTTTTAGAAAATGGAAGGAAAGTCATGTTTATCCATACGAAGTAATTTTAGAAAAGAATATTGAGCTTAATGACTTTTGCATCTCTTGAAAAGAAAACATCGGTAATTAACAGCATTTCATATTTAAGTAAAAAAGGTTTTGTATACTTTTGATGAACTACTATAAGACTTGGTCAAAGACTATCTGCCTATATTAGCCACCACTCGGGTTCTCTGAAACTCACATCGATTTCATTCTCTGCCCATGATACATTGTTAGACCACATCCATTTGGACTTCGATTGATCCAACAATCGCTTTAGTCCAATATAATATCCTCTTGATTCTGGACATTGTCCTTTACATGTTGTATTGACTAAAAATTTTATAGAATATATTTTTGTAATTTAAAAACAAATAGCTAAACATTTATTTTATCTTACACATATTTAATTGTCGCAATCGTTCAAGTAATTGAATATTATCGATGATAGCTAATTGAAGACCGTATCTATGACACATTTGTTTTGCTTGTTCATATTGTAGAATTGCTGTGACTCGAACATAACAAATACGTTTAAATTTTTGTGCATACTTTATAGTCTCTGGCGGCCACAAAGGACTAACACAAGCCGATTGTTCTAAATAAATCTCTGTAGATACAAATAAGATTATTTTTCCTTGTAAATTTAACCTTGATTGGATTGACAGTTCGTAGTCGTTGTACAATAGTGTGCACAAACTGGTGATAAACGCGGACGTCGTCGATAATGTGTCTTGTGTTGTCGAAATTCATCAAGGCATAACTATAGAGAATTTGAATTGCAAAAATAAAACGATTGGAATTTAATTTACTTCGCGTCTAGTTTCCGTAGTTTCTCTTGATTCTTCATATTTTACGGGAAAAAATACTTTAGATTGTAGAAAATCATTTGAAGTGGTACGCAGAATTTCATCAAGCTCTGCACATCGTTTAAAAATAAAAGAAATTACGATTATAACATGTTCATTACTCTTACTCGATTCAATCGTCATAAAGTTTATAAAAATAAATATTAAAATCATTTTATCTAAATCATACAAATATAATGTCGATTAAACTAAATTGAAGAATAGCTGCTGCAGAACATACAAGAGTATCAACATTTATTTGATACTATAATGTACTCCCTTCTTTGGTTACGGGTATCTTTCATTACAGACAAACATACAGTAAAAACGAGCACTATCTCAAATTAGAAAACGGTGCAAACAGTTACTATAAATTATTCCTTAGCTTACATGAAATATGTATGTTACATTTTGATATCTTTAATATTGTGTTGACAAGAGTTTTTATTAGGTTAGGGAAAAATAACAATCACCAAGTGCTAGTCAAATGTTTGTTCGGCTTAATATAGCACGCAATCCATATGAGAGAAATCCAGCGATCGAATATTCTCATGTCAAAAGAATTCAATTAAAAGTGTTCAGTATAATTATATCGAATAACTTTCTAATTGAGATAAACCAATTTATCAATATAACATTTGTATAATATTTTGAAATAGGTCAGCCTTCAAATATTGTACTATGCCAAAAAAAATGGAACCGAAAATGATGAGATTTTATTTTTTATAAAACATATAGCTATTTATAATCACATGAATGTGTCCGTTGGGAAATCAGTTTTTGTTTATCCTAAGTGAAGGGCACCTTCATTTTTTCTAATGCATGTTTTAACTTCGATTGTCTCAGAAGAATAAAATGCATAATAATTTTGAAATGAAAAGAAAAATGATTCGAATACCATTTATCAAAGTTGAAAAAAACAATGGTGAATTCTTGTGCTTGGTTGTATGTTTGGCAAATATGTACTTCGTTAAGCCGACAATATATTAATCATGTACGTTTTAGTAGAATATCGCCATGACCAGACATGAAGTGATGCCAGATAATTTATATTACTGATTGTCATATAACTGAAAAAGGTACAGGAACTAGCTGGAAGCATCTCATCAACGAAAGAAGCAGAAAAAAAAAGAACACATAGAAATTTTCAATTAGAATTAGATTGGCATGAACTTGAAAAAAAATGAAAGGCTATTTTTAGAAGCATCATTTATATGTGAGACGCAATACACAGCTTGTTATTCTTTCAATTGTAAATTATCGATAATAAAAAGAATATTATACTGAGTAAAAATCTTCTTTTATGGATGGCTTATGTTTCTCTTGGAAGATTAAAGCCTTGCTGATATTCCAAAATCCGACGCCTGGAAAAGAAGATTATTTACTTTTTAATCAAAAGAGATTTTTCGGTTGTTAATTCTCTCCTTAAATATTTCATACCTTCAGAAAGAAAAGATTTGGCTTGCAGGTCACTTGGCATTTAATTTAGAAAATATTCTCTTCTCCTTTTCATTTCAAATATTTTGTTTTTGGTATACTCTCGACAGTGAAACGAAGCATTAAAAACTTTATTAAATATTTCAAAAAAAAAAATAAATGTATGCATGAGAAGCTAATGATTTGTTTTGCAGACAGTTTTATGTAGATAGATTTTAGGAGTAACTGCTCAAATGTATAACATATACTGTTCTGTATGTATATACATTTGAAGATGTGCGAAAAAGGAAGGTAGCCATAATTAGAATAATACCGATCGATTAACACATATAAAATAAAAACACTATGAGAATCACCATTTTACTTTAGTTGACTTCCGTGTGGGTTCATTCATTTGTTGTTGTAGTTTAGCTGGCAGTTCATTTGGAGTTAATTCTTTCGCTATTGAATTCGATTTATATTGTTTTTGTTGATTAGACGGCGGGGGCGTAAATCTAAAACTTTTGATGTTCAAAAACAAAACAAGTGTTGTCGGCTTTATTCACCTTAATAAATCATCGATAGCTTCACTATCCTTGAATTTAACTGAAGCGGTAGCAGCAGGTGGCGCCGTTGTTGGCGCTGATGGTTTGTCGGGCACTGTTTCAATAATTGGCTTAACGTGAATTTCATTATTTGACTCTTTTCGTTTAGCAGCTTCTTCTTCTTGTGCTTTTCTTTCTTCAACTAATCGAACAAGTTCTTTATCGAGACTAGAAAGAAAATATGCCCAAAAGCTGAATTCGCAACTCTATATTTGTTTTATCATACCCATGATTATTTTCGGAGATAACTGGCTCTGGTAGTTCTTTATCAAAACCTTCTTTTCCACAAAGCCAATATGTCCTATAGTTACCTCGGCCCTAAAATACAAATATGAAACTCAGAGCCACGAAATTTTCCCATGAAAATATTCACCTTAATTTCGGTAACACCACGAAATTCTAAATTAAATCCACCCAGAATTTCCAACAAGTCAGCTGTTGTTTCACTCGTATGAATACGAAAAGCTAAGAAGATAAAATAATATTTATGTCTAAGACAATGCATGCATAAATTTTTGTTTTTCTATACCCATGCTTGTCGATTCCATTCGTGATGCCGTATTTACTGTATCGCCGAATAGACACTATAAGGAAAAAAATTTCAATCACTTCATCAAATAGGGAGAAAAACACTTCTTTACATATCGCGGCATTTTTAGACCAACAACACCAGCAACGCATGCACCAGAATGAAGACCAATACGTAATCGTAATGGCACACCGGGCATGTGGCGAATTCTAAATTTGCCACATGCATGTAAAAGTGTTAATGCCATCATAGCTATTTCTGATGCATGTCTTGTTCCATTTTGAATTGGAAGACCACTGACTACCATATATGCATCGCCAATTGTTTCAACCTAAATTTATTTAAAAATCAAAAACATGGAGCTCAATGCCTTTGAGATTGAAAAAACATAGAAATCAATTTTTTCTCTCTCTATAAAATAGGCTTAATGAACAAATTATATACAAATACTACACCTTATAACAATCGAAGTCTTCAAGAATCGAATCGAACATTGTATATAAATCATTTAATAAATCAACAACTTCCATTGGACTACTTAATGCAGATATTGTTGTGAAGCCAACAATATCCGAAAAGTAAATTGTTACACATTCGTACCATACGGCCTCAACGGCTTTACCAGATTTCAAACTGTCCGCAACACTCCTGAACGGTGAAAAATATAATTAGTTTTTGCTTTTATATTAACAAAAATAGAAAATTTCTTACGGTGGTAACATTTGCGATAGAAGTTTGTCAGTTTTTTTCTTTTCTTCTTCAAGTTGTGTTGTTCGTTCTCGAATTAGATCTTCCAAATTATTTGAATATTGTTCAAGCATTTTAAACATTGTATCAACAATATTCACTTTTCTATTATTAAAAGAGAATAAACATTGTTATTCGAATGCAGCTGATTATTTGAATTTCGAGATTATGAGTTTTTTTTATATCATGCCTTACAATAACACTTCAGTACGTTTGATTTCATATATATGTTACTTACTTTCCACCATTAAGTAATTTAATCGACTGAGAAAGATCATTAAATGATGGCCTCGATTCTGCTTGCTCCGACCAGCATTGTTTCATCGAATTAATATATTCCGGCGGTGCAGTTTGCTTCGATACGGACGGTCTTAATAATGGTGGCGGTTTTTTAATTTTAGCAATTATTTCTATGAATAATAAAAGATAGAAATTAAACAAAACAATAGTTCTCAGTTTGTTATCTCAACCAACCTTGAGGTGTGAGCTCCAGCATGCAATAGGGTGGTCCACGCAAAATAACTTCTTGCATAATAATACCAAAGCTATAGACATCACCTGCTAATGAACTTGTCACCAGTGTTGCAACATCATTTTTAATTATTGCTGTGCGAACATGTTCAGGGGCCATCCATAAAAGATCTTAATTAAGATTCTATTAAGAGATTATTTTTCAACAGATAAACGTTATACAGACCAGCTATTTCAACTTGTTTTGGAGAATTTTGTAAAGCATAAATTTCATTCAGACGATAATCTGTTATTTTCAATACCCAACGTGAATCGACAATGCAATTTCTCGATTTTAAATTTCCATGGCAACGTATCGAAGAATTCGATATATATCGCATACCCTAAGAAATGAAACTTTTCCGTAAGAAAAAAACAAAACAATCGGTTTCCTATAAACAATAGCATACTCGAACAAGATCATTGAGCATGGACCATTTAAAATTCCAATCAAGTTTTATTTCTTCTTTTTTAAGAATATCCTTTAAAGAAAAAAAATTGAGATTTAAAAAGCATCTGAAGTCCGAAGTTCTCTTCTTAGTAGATGCGCATTAATGTTCGTGTCATAACTTCTAATTATTCATTATTTTATATGAAATTTCCACTATTGTACACGAACCTGTCTAGTAAATCTTAACATAGACCGAGACAAGTATACACATTAGTCAAGAACCATTTCGTTCATTAGTTTTTAGGATTAAACAGAATAGCCTCAAAATTTTACAGGTGGGATTATATGATTAAAAAATAATTTTCTAGAAATGTATTAGGTCACATGTTCTTAAATTCAAGTCAAATTAAAGAACTAATCAAGTAGGAGAAATATTTTGAACTGTAGAGGACTGATGAGTTCGATTCAAGTGTATACGCATAATAATATATGACTAAATTTAGTAGATAATAGTGTGACATCCAGAAGAGAAAATTCTCACTCGAACTTTCATTCACAGGCATCATCTATTGAAATCTAATGTTCTTACAAGATAATTCATTCTTAATTAAATGATGCTCATTTCCGCTAGAAGTAAAAAAGATTTGTTTTTAGCTGTAATCAAACTCAAATCAGCTCACAGATAATTTTCTCCATGGCGACAGAATACAAAGACGCACATCATCTAAATGAATAACATTATATCGAGAGGAATCTTTGCATCGGTCTATTCACAATACACATGACTAGCAATGTAAATTTAGATTAAATTTGCTTCTCACTTCGAGGCTGCCTCTATCGCCGTATTCAAAAATTAATGCCGGTGACTTTTGATCAATAAAAATTCCAATAAATGTATTAACATTTTCATGTCGTAAATCTTTTAATTGTCGTAATTCGCGCATAACTTTAGTACGAAGCGATAATGGACCAATATGTAGTTGTTTTACTTCAACCAAATCACCCTAATCAAAAATGTTTATTTTAGTTCCATTCTAAACAAAAATAAGACGTACATTGAAACGTGCTGTTTTTCCTGCCCGATGATCATCACTACGCATTGATAAATTACTTCTTTCGTGTACTTCATTTTTTAAATTGACCTTAATTGAAAAAATAAACCTCAACATTTTTCTGCTTATTAAAAGTTGAGTCTACAAACTTTGCTTGTAAATATTGATCCTTTTGGCATAACAAACATTAAATCGTCCGGTAATAGAATGATTTTATTTGGACCTTTGGACATTTGTGTTCGAGCACGACGCGATCTAAAATATCAAACAGAAATCTAGTGCTATTCTCTCCATTCAGATTTCAACAAACCTTATCATAAAAAAAGCAATCAGTAAAACGGCACATACTAAACCAACTCCCAGTAATGAGAATAGTACAACTCGAAGTGTTTGCCAACCTAAATCGAAGACATAGTCTTGTAGAAATTCAAGTACAACAACATAAACGAAAATTACTGACCAGTATCAGTCGTCGTAGAAGTGCCATCAGAAGTCGGATAAATAATATGTGTACATATATTTGTAGTTGTATCAATATTTGTAAATGTTGAACTTGTCGTATTGATTTTTTTGAATACAGTCCATGTAGAATTGCATTGTCGACCGATGAATAAATATTGAAATAGGCGTTGATGATTACTATCTAACGTAACTGGACTGAGAGATAATGATGGATGTGATGGTTGAAGATATTCGACACTTTCAAGTTCATTTAAAATAAATATTATCTAGGAAAAGAAATGAATAAAACAATAAATAGATAAAGTATGAGTTATTACAAAATTCTTACATCATCAGCGAACGATACATTCGATGTACTCGAAAGAATGTGGGCATAAGTTGAAACCATATTTTGAAAACTGCTGGTAACACTGTAATCGATTGGTAGAAGATGAAGAATAGGAAAAGAACCAGAAGTTCCTATTGATGATGTATTCGGTAAAAATTGTGGTGTATAAAAGCTAACAAAATGAGGCGACCAGCGAAGAAATATAAAAATTATATTGTCTGCTGATCTTGATTTCGAATATATCAGAGCTTGAGAATAAAGTAGAATTTCATCATTATATGAACATACTATGTAAAACACTAAAAGATAAATAATTTTAGAACGAAACAAAAACTTACTATTGTAATTAAAATACAAGATTTATCAATAAGCAATCCGTGCCTCATGTATGATTTTTATCAAATTGAAACTGCAAAACATCCTTAACTATCGAACACGCTACTTTAGAGAAGTGTTGCAGTGTGCAGAGTAGAGCCCATCGGCTCGACGATTTTTGGACCCTGGACCTGACCCATACTCAATTGCCTTAAAGATAGAGCAGACCTTTTCAAATCCGAAAACGTTGGGCTGCTAAAAGATTAAGCTTCTTATGTCATCAACATCTCATTAATGTTATTTATGAACTTCTTTCTTATTGCCGTTCAAGAGGATTAAGTAAAAGATACTAAATGCAAGAGTTTCAATAGAGATCGGATAGAATTATTTTTCTTCGCTTGGCCACAACAACTACGGCACGACTTCAAACTTTATTTCCAGTTGGATTGCAATTAATAGATTTTTTTTTCTTTTAAAAATATTATTCTTAAAATATATTTATGGTTTCAATCCCGTATGACGTAGGATTCATGAGCAACTAACCTTTACTATTCGAAGAACTTGATGATGGTGGAAAATTTGATTGAACTAAAATTTGCTCAGAAATAAAATTTTTCTCTGCCAAATAAGCCGAAAATTGTTGTGCTAAATTCGAATAAAAATCGTCTGATTCACTGATAATTATTGAAAAATAAGTTAACGAATATTGATTCATAAAACTACTGGCCGCAGCTGCTAATTGTTGACTTGTCACAGCTAATTGTAGAATATTATTTATGGATGAAGCTATGTCAGAGAAACATAATGGACTACTGATATTAATCGTGTTATATTTTAGTGCTAACGCTATTGGTAATGAACAATCGCTCCTATTCGAACTGAAAACAATTGATTGAGTATCATTTGATGATAGAAGTGTTTGAATTGAATTAAGTAATTGAACACCACGTAATGGTAAACGTAGAACATACGAAGAATTTGTTAATATATAATCATTTGAGCTTAATACTGAATTTATCTCACTTGCATTTATATTTGACAACACATAGGTGAGATTATTCAGACATAAATAAGATTGAATAGATATTAAAATTAGTATAATATCATATAATAGATGCATTTAGTCAGCATTCGATTTTCAAGTAATACGAATAATCTGGAAACTAAAAATTATTTTAATCAACAAAGCTTCGCATCGAAGTTCGGGCACTCTAACGCCCTATACTATTAAATTGCGTCTTTCGTGCGGTTCTGCTCTGATGTCACAGTAGGACTAAAACACATTATCTATTACTGCTACGACAGGACACGGCAGAATAAAAGTGTCCTGTGATGATCTTCAATAAACACTGTAGATTAGAGGATTTTTCTTTTCTTTTTTTGAAGAGAATAATTAGTAGAATGCATTCGGAAAAACTATTGCGATAATAATATGTTAACCAATAACAATATGTTTTCATCACTACATGATATTAAAAAGATTATTGCACATGAGAATAATCAGTATCTAATTATTTGTAATTGCAGTAAAATTTAACGATTATCATGTTTATTAGTATGTCGGTTTTGGTTAGTTCATAAATAAACTCTCCTCCCTCCCCTCCCAAAAAAATAAGAAGCTGATGATATTCAAGGGATAAAAACGCGGCATATGGAATTTAATTCATTGATATTTTATCATTAACTAAAAAATTCTGTAGAGTATATAAACAATATAACTTATACGACAATGAGATGGTACTTACTTTGACAACTAAACATATCATATGAGCGTGTACATTTTCAAAGAAAAAAATCAACAAATTCGATACATTTTTTTGGTGTTGGTAATATCGGAAATAGTACATCAGTATTCTATATGAAACTAATCAAGTGATAAGTCTTTATTCTATCTTACTAGCTGTTCTGATGGTTACTTTGTATTCCAAAAAATATTATAGAAGAAGCGTTAACATCTGTTATCACTTCTATAAAATATTAATTCTCATAATTGTCATACCTCAAAGCTATGTGGCGAGAATTTTGAAATAGACAAAAGAAGAAAATATTTGTGAAGGAGCTACTTAAGCCAATTCAATAACTCTCGTTTCACCAGAAATAGTCGAATCATACATTTACGAGCGAACAAAAGTTTATTCAGTTTGCTTATCTGAAGGTAACGCATGACGAATAGTTATTGTCGTTATATAAATAATAAAAAAAAACGTATGAGACATAAAAAAAAGAAGATAGGAAACAAAGATGTTTTCCAGGGAAGCAGAAAAAACAGCGATGTGATGAGATATTCCAACCAATGGGTTTACTGGTTTGCTCGTTTAGTCTCACGGCTGAACAAATAATATGAAAGCAACTAAATTGAAGACTTCTAATGTGAGGATAATTGTGGGTGTCGTTTCATTGCAACGGCAAAAAAGAAGACGGCTTTCCGGTTGTTTCTCCTTGATAAAATGTTTTATCTATGCAGATGCAGCATCTTCTTCCTTTTTGAACTTGAATTTCTCGTGGTGCATACTTGTTTTTCTTCTTTGAAGAATATTTCTTAATTGATTATGATATAATTTAATGCTATTTTTATATTTTTGACGCGGGACAATGATTATGTCATCGAGCACATCCACTTACTTTTTGATTGGCTGACTGATAGGTGAAAAACAATAACAGATTTGTCCGTACGTGTTGTCTCTTCATTTTTTGACTTGTGCCTCCCCCCCCCCCGGCTGCGCCTACTAAGGAGCAACGGATCATGAAAGAAAATTGAGCTGGAAAAAAATATAAAGTAAAAAGAAGAAAAAGAGAAACGACGTTTTCTTTTTCTACATCTTTTTCTTCTTCTTTTAGTTCCGTTTTAAATCGTAAAAGGCTGATGATAAATATCTTCTTTACTTTCACTGTCAACGACGCTGACGATGCTGCGAATGTGAAATGTGAAATGTCTTTAATCTGCTTAAAATGGATGTGTTCTTACTTTCCTCATAATATATTTTCTTTGCATCAGTTTGCAACATGATGAAAAGAGAAATGTAATTTAAATTTGTGCTTGATGCATTTTGTTAGGAAAATTGATGCTTCGACAAAAAAGAAAAAATAGGATGAGTCGTCTCACTCACACTCTCTCTCTCTCTCTCTCTCTCTAATGGATTACTATAACAAAAATATTGACAATCTTCTCAGTTACGAGAAATAGCATTGCAAATAAAATGATAAGATTTAATAATAGATTTGCAGCTGATGTTACTGGAAAAACAAATGAAATCAATAGCATAAAAACATCTAATCTTTCGAATACTATAGAAGAGTCTTGATTATCAATAGAGATCAATACAGGTTTTGATTTTCTTCAATTCGGATTTTTTTTGATAAGATAATTTCATATCATCGAACAATTTATAGATTTATGAAAACACAAATTCTAATCGAAGTACAATCGATTAAATATTTTGATCGATTGAATATTTATCAGAAACTCTAACATCAAACAGTGATTCAGTTCATGCGAGAAAATAAGACTCGTTAAAATTGCATCCGCATCTCACTGATAGTTTCGTTGTTTTTTTAATTGTTTTTATAAAGGTGTATTTATTTCTAATGACGAAATCACCACGTGGCGCTGACCGTCTTATTTCATATTTTGCAACGATATTCACATTTCGCAGAAAAGAAAGAAGTTAAGGTACCAGAATAGTTCGTTGTTGAAAAGGAAGGAAAGAAACTGTATGCATCAAAATAAAGGGACCCAATCAAGAACAATTTCCAATAGATGATCAAAAAAGGTAGGACACTCATTATTAAGAAAGCAATTGAGTTTTTTGCTTGGTCGTCCTGTGGGCATATATTGAAGGTGTGGTTTAATCCGATAATGTTCATGAACTATGCTGTATATGTGTTTATGTTGTAATAGGTAATCGATGAACAATGGTCCGCATAGTTGGATACTTTTCATACGGTGTAGTAAACATTTTTTGTATCGTTTCTCGAGTGTAGGTATCCCAGGTCAAATACGTACGGCGGGAAACAGCCTGATCCGGTGATTTTCCATCGAATTCCGGAAGCAGTATTCCGAAAGGTTTCCGGTCTCCATTTCCAGGGTATTTTCCGCTAATTCCTGGCCCCAGAAGCGATGAGTGGATACAGTTTCCGTTTACAGCAGGATTCCGTACCACGTTTCCGATGGTTTCCTTTTGACGACCGAAAACGAAGAAATATTAATAGTTTCTGATGCAGATACGCAGCCAGGATCTGACCATTTTCAATCTGGGTATGTAATCCGGATTGCGCCATTCGACCAATACGATACAGCAAAAAAAGAAATATTCGATACTTCCTTTTCTGATTGAAAAAAATTGTGAACTCCAAGGATAAGTACATATTTCTTATTGGAAGTACAAATCGGCAGAGTTACTGCTTATAGTTGGATTGAAACTAACTTTCCAAAAAGCATTACAGAAAGTTGGGTAAACAACATTTTTAGATTGAAATCAAGAGATTAATGAATTTAACTGCATTTCGCTGTTGATTTTGTCACATAAAATCTTAACGCCATATTGTTAATCGAAGTAATTTTGATTAATATTACATACCAAATGTAATACCAATTACTTTTGGCATAAACCCTATTAAAATTGAATTACCACCATGAAATACAAATAGGATGATCACAGTTTAATTGATCATATTTTCATATGTGTTTACTCTATCTGATACTAAGATGGCTAACAAATAGGAGATAAAATTAGATTTTGTATTTTCTCACTTTATGTGTGCAACATTTTTATATTTTTAAACAATAGCCATCAACAATTATAAAACCTAGGGCAAATGACAACATGTTTTTATATCGAAATAGTTGCTCATATCTTTGATATGTGTGTCTAAATCCATTAACACTTGATAATAGTTTAACGTAGATCATAATCTTATATAGCTATGTAGACGTACAAAAAATGCATAGAAATAGAGTAGAAAAAATTTCTGATTAATTATTGATTCAAAAAGGAATCTATTATATAAAATAAAAACTCTAAAAATCTAACCATTTCACACATGCACACCTTTAAATCGAATTATAACCTATGCAGAAACTTTACAATAAGTACAGCATGTAATGAAATATTTTGTTTGTTAATCTTAATCGTTTATAATCAATTTGATGTCAACAATGATTCCATCATGATTCAAGTACATCAAAGTTATTGATTGATTGAGTTTACGTTGTTCTAATATTTTTTTTTGAATGGTTAAACGCTACGAACAACTTCGTTTAAATATTGTTTGAACGAATACTCATCAATTTTAGTATGATTTTGTCTAATATAATTAACTTTCGGAAGGAAAACAAAATACTCATTGAAAATGTGGTCAATTAAAGCAGAACGCACTGATAAAATATTCAGATCATATGGCGATAGAGTTTTCAGCTACTTTGAGATTTTAATTGATTTTAATCTAGCTTTTGCAAATAAAAAATCGACTTGAGGGTGTGTGAATGTATGGGTAGTGGTGAGGATTTGGCTAAATATAGGAATTACACCTACACCCACATCTCACCCACGAGACAGAGTATCACAGTTTGTATTTATTTTCTCTGGCTGATACTTGATATCAACGATGTTAAATACGGATAAACTGATTGCCCATCGAGCGAGACGTCCAGATGAATTTTTGGCGTTGAGGAACCATTGTAGAGCTCGACAGTCTGATCTGATATAGATCATTGTACATTGTAGATAGGGTTTAAAATGTTCAGCGGCTCAGTATATAGCTAAAGGGTGGGCGTGGACGAGGGTGTTGCTCATGTCTTCATTCACTTGCTTAGGTGAAAGAAAACGACCCGTAAACGGCCTGAAACGGCATGAAAACGATGTAAATCGTTAAAAAACGGCGCCATTTTCCATCAGCTCGGAAAACTAAGAGAATAGTGTTAAAAGCGATGACCGTTTTCTAGCAAAAAAAAACGGCCCGTAAAACGAGCTGACGCATTACGGCGAAATAGGGTGAAAATTAATGCCGTTTTATAGCCGTTTCAGGCCGTTTCCGATGGCCTTTCAGACGGCAGGATGATTCTCCTGGGTGGACACCTACACACACCCTCAAGATGGCTGATAGAAAAATGTATCAGTACAA